AGAACTCATTCTCTTACTTGATTAACAAAAATAGGTTGTTAATAAACACAATACATGAAACAACGCTTGCGTTGTGTTTTGTCGTGTGAGTAAGGTAACAGGAGGCCCAATTATCTCCCCTCCTCAGTCTCTCGAATCCCAGAATCCTCCACAATCCTCAAATTTCCAATTCCAAAAGGGCCGGTAACGCACTTGTAACGCCTTGGTGTTCCTGGTTTCCATGGGTGACGGCGATTGCTTACCATTAGGTGATCCGTCTACTCGTTTACCAGCTTATGCCATAAAAACATAATATAGTTCTAGTAGAATTGAAGAACATAACAGAATCCTCAGCGTCACACACCTTCTTTCCACAGGATACTTCAAAAAGCTCATCGCAAGAAGCATATAGAAATCAACTGCGTAGACTCATTAGGTCGTGGAGCCCTAACTTTAGCTATTGATGGCGAAAATTTGGAGATGGTTGAATTACTGGTCATTATGGGTGTGGAGACCAAGGATGCTCTACTGCAGGCCATCAACGCTGAGTTTGTTGAAGCTGTCGAGCTGTTGTTGGAGCATGAGGAGCTCATTCATAAGGAGGGAGAACCTTACGTAAGTTGATTGTTATGTTTTAGTACATACTTTTTCGTTTTGCAATTTGATGGAAGTCCTTATGGACTAGCCACGTCGTATGTCGCCGTGACCCGGGTTGCCCTTGCGAATTCTTGCTGCTGCTACCTGCTTATTGTTAGAGTTGAGGGTTCTCGTTGAAGAAGATCATTATGACGAGTTTTACAAACAGAGTCATGTTCATCAATTTTCGGAGTCCAATCAATACGGTAGAGGCAGTTTACAGTGTTTAAAGAAGCTTTCATAAAATTTATTTTCTAAACACAGAGTTGGCAGAAAGTGGATCCAAACACGGCAATGTTTACACCGGACGTGACACCACTGATGCTGGCCGCACATAAGAACAACTACGAGATCCTCAAGATCCTGCTCGACCGCGGAGCCACGTTGCCCAACCCTCATGACGTTAAGTAAGATTCCAAATAATAAAGTACACTATTGAATAAAATATATTTTTTATACATTTAGTAGTTGAAAGTCAGCCACTGAGTATGAACCAAAGTTTCTTCAGTCAGTTCAGTAAGCAAATGGATCTAGGGGTTGGGTTTATGGCCCGTTGGGATGATAGAACCCCGATAGAACTTTATTGTTGAAATTCCTGTTTTATCCGTTTAGAAAACACAGATGTAACATTAATAGTTACTCAAGAAACTATTAGATTAATAAGGTAGCTCGTGCTTTTTTGTTTTCTCTTTATCATTAATTAGCTTCTGCAAGCGGTTTCACAGGACAAAAGTATCATATGTGTAATTCCAGACCATAATCTACCCATGATGTTTCACTATATTAAAAATATTTCTATTTAGGTGTGGTTGTGAGGAGTGTATCCGTGAGTCCACAGAGGACTCCCTCCGTCACTCGTTGGCTCGACTCAACGAGTACCGAGCTTTAGCGTCACCATCTCTCATCGCTTTGTCTTCGACTGATCCCATCTTGACAGCCTTCCAGCTCTCCTGGGAGCTTAGGAACTTGGCTTTTGCTGAACAGGTAATTAATGTTCAACTAATATCTATAACTCGTGACAGTATTCTAGGCCATGGATCTCCTGTACAAAAGAGGGGTTTGGCATAATCTCCAGGCTTGGTAACCGAGTTGGAGATGTCAGTTTAAAAGGATAAGGTTTATCAGGGAATCCTGCTGGTCAGTTTCAGTTCAATGTAATTCAAACAACGGTTGACGTGACAACCAGAAAGTTTTATTTTTTCCCATCAAAAGGTAACTTATACAGATTTTGTAACCAATACAAAAAAATAAATGAAGTCCCTTAGTTGACTCTTGTGAAATCTGTGGAAAGAGTACCAGAAGCCTAAATTGTTTTGTAAAGAAGTATAAAAAAGATATGTTTGCCCCCAGGAAAGTAAATCCGACTATTTAGAACTTCGTCGTCAAGCGCAAATGTTTGCTGTGGACCTCCTAGACCAGTCGCGAAGCTCTCAGGAGCTGGCCATTATTCTGAACCATGATCCTGATGAACCAGCCTTTGTGGATGGAGACCACATGAAACTGGCCAGGTTGGAGCTCGCCATCGATTTTAAGCAGAAGAAGGTGAATATAATTTGAATACGTAGATACTTTAGGAATCCTGAAAATGTTAGATGATCTCACAAATTGAATTGTAAATAGTTATACAGGGTTATTTGTAAAACACCGGTAACTCTCAGGACTACGTTATTAACATCATAATCAACTACTTTTTGTCTATGACTTTTAAAAATTCATCATATAATAATGATATTTCATAACTAATATTTCATACTACTTTCCGATAGCATAAAAAATAATTTACCATTTTTGTTCTCTCCAGTTCGTAGCCCATCCGAACATCCAACAGCTCTTAGCCTCCATCTGGTACGAGGGCGTCCCTGGCTTCCGTCGTAAGACTGCCATGGAGAAGATAATGATCATCTGTCGAGTCGCCTTGTTGTTCCCCTTCTACTGTACCCTCTATATGATCGCCCCCAACTGCGCCACCGGCAAGCTCATGAGGAAGCCCTTTATGAAGTTCTTGATCCATGCTTCTAGTTACCTGTTTTTCTTGTGTAAGTGTTTTATTTATTTTTTCAAATTTTTTGTTATCATTATAATCATCACATATTATAAAAGAAATCATCATCATCATCATCATCATCATAACGTCACGCTGTTTAGCCCCGAATGCCACTGTATAATGTAACATCTACTTTTCACTATTTATGTTATGAGTCCTATGTAATAGGGGCGCCTATTGAGACTTAGTGCTACTACTGAGATTTTTTTAATACTGAGGCAGTGAGGCCTTCTTTTTTGTGTGATTTAGATTTCTTGTTTCTTCTGAATTATTAGTAGTTTTGTTGTTTTCTGTATGCTGATTTTTTAGAATGTTGCAGATTGTCTTTTTGGTTAGTGTTTTCTGAGGTTTATGATAAAAAGCTGTGACAGCTAACGTTATAATTCATAGTTATTGTTGTCCCTTTCTTTGTTATTTTATGTAAAAATAGAACAGTGGAAGTGGCATATACCCATTTTTATCTTTGCTTCTCCCTATTTATTAGCCATTTCAACTTTATTTATTGTGTTCCACAGTGATTCTGATTTTGGTGTCACAAAGAGCGGAGGTGCAAGCGATACAACTGTTTGGTCCGGAGTGGATGGTCAAAGAGTTAGAGAAGGAACTACTCAAGCAGAGAGGAAATGGCCCCACATATTTGGAATTAGTCGTCGTGGTTTATGTCTTAGGTGCGTGTCGTATTATATTTAAATTAAAATTCATATCTTTCAGTCAAACAATTGTTTTATCAAAATTGATCCCTTTGTTTTGGTTCACTGATTTTTGTAACTCCATATTTTTTTTAGAAATTTAGTCAGATGTTGTCAAGTTTCTTATTTTATTAATTATTGAAATATTTTATGCTTCAAATAAGATTTTACCCTTTCTCTAGGTTTCATATGGGAAGAAACCCAAGAGATATACATCGAAGGCATTCGCTCCTACTTACGCAACATGTGGAACTTCATCGACTTTACTAGGAACTCCCTTTACGTGGCTGTGGCTGTTCTAAGGTTCGCCGCCTATATCCAGCAGACCACTGAGATTAGGAGAGACCCTCAGACCAAGTTTATTCCAAGAGAGAACTGGGATGCTTTCGACCCCCAGTTGATTGCTGAAGGGTTGTTTGCTGCGGCAAATATTTTCAGGTATGTAGAGTACATATAGTCAAAAACTGTTATATTACGTACAAATTAGTATTAGGTTAAAGTGGAACAGTGAAATAGTGGAAATTTGGTTAATCTATCCAAAATTGTGATTATATATATATTTCACCTTTTTTGTAGTCGTAACTAAAATCTACACATTTACCTCGTATAAACAATTTCTGGATAATGTCGTTAGTGTTCTATGAGAGTTTAATTTTCTTATCTTTTACTTGAGTTTTTTTCTTATTTATTATTTCTATTAACTTGTTTTTAATTAACTACCAACCTAAGCCATACGTTATGTCTAAATCTTTTTTTACTTCATACTCCATGTTTCTCCTCCCAGTGCCCTGAAGCTGGTGCACTTGTTCTCCATCAACCCTCACTTGGGGCCGCTGCAGATCTCCCTCGGCCGCATGGTCATCGACATCGTCAAGTTCTTCTTCATCTATAGTTTGGTGCTGTTCGCCTTTGCTTGCGGTAAGCATTATTATTTTAATATTTTGTATTCTAAGTATTAAAAAATTCCTCTTCTATGATCTTAGATAGAATTCTTAAACAAATACTTTATATTCTTCTTCTGTGTCGTTTCGCTCTTGGCAGATCGGTCGTGGCCATGTTGCGGCCACCGTATTTGTATCATAGGTTCTCCTGCCATCTTTCTCTAATGCCTGACAATTTTTTTAATAAACGATTGCAAGTCAGATCTCTTGGCCCAGTCGTATTTATAAGGAAATCTATAACTATCATGTAGTTTTCATTTCTTGATTCAATATTTGGTGCCATATCAAAATTTAGGTCTAAACCAACTGCTGTGGTACTTCGCGGACCTGGAAAAACGTAAATGCTACGTATTGCCTGGAGGTCTACCTGATTGGGATAATGCTGGAGACTCCTGTATGAAATGGAGGAGTTTCGGGAAGTCAGTCCATGATAGATCTTAGTAGAGCTTGTTTTAAGTCACATTTGTTGTAGGTTTTAGTCGCTATTTGATCCTTCACAGTGTAAAGAAATAAATAATGTATTCGTTCGTGTTGTATTGTAAACGCACAAACATAATAATATTGATAACTTAAAAATTATAATCGTGGCGTGGTTGCAATATTGCGTGACGGAACACGGAACTCATGTCGTTAGAAAACGCGGCAAATTATAATATTTAATTCAGGAAGTGGAATCTCACCTGCGCATGTCAACATGTTGCCACGACAACACAATACACAGTTTTGTCAATTTCTTCAAGTTATGGTGTCGACGAATTTTGGATAAAGTTTATTTTTTGAAATTATTAATTTGATTCTTCACTTGTAAAAATGAGTGAAGCTCAGTTCGGAGTGCGACATGTCATCGGAGCTCCTATAGCCATCACAAGGTTGTCAGAGCAGGCCATAGTATGTATTCCGCCACGTACGGCCAAATTCACTCTCGATGAGTGGAAGTTAAGCAACGATCAAAGATGTAGGAACACAGAAGATCAACAACAGTTAGCTGATAGAGTACTCGGCGAGAGCGATCGAATTCGAGATGAGACCGGAGAGCGTGCTCATATCTTGAAAGCTACATCTGACAGGCGAATTGAGGAACGTATTGGTGATATCGAATTTAACAAGAACGAGTTACAAATCCAACGCAAAGAAATATGTTTGGAGTTAGAAGCTCTGTCCATGTACAAAACACGTCTCTTAGACTGTCTCGCCTCACTCCAAACTAACGCTTTAACTATTTGCCGCAAATGTCTTATGCTGAGAGACGGACGTCTCGGCATTGACCTGGTCGTCGATGAAGTGGAATCTGCACTGCAACAAGAGATTACTACCATTCAAGGAGGACAAAGCTTATTGAAGAGAGTGTTGGAGCAGTTGAACGAACAGATGCGCCGTCTACGTTCTACGCGCTATCTTCTGGATCGTGACTTACAGTACAAACAAGCAGCTATTGATTTGGATAAAACCAATCTTTCTCTTAAACCTACTGATTTGTGTCTCTCTGTGTATGAAGGATACGCTAGTTTGGATCCAGCGAATATATCTGCTGATGAGTATAACGCGTATTCTGCAAAAAATATACAAATGGCAGCAAGAGAGGTAACAAGCGCACGACCAATACGAATGTTTGTCGATACAATTCTAAAGCAAGTGATTGATGACCTCTGGAATGCTTTCAACAAATGCAATCATGCGTTCCTGGATCGTATAGAAGATACAAAGCGAGCTAAAGGTAAACTTGAGGATATGCATCGAGAGACAACTCAAAAGATTGCAGATATGCAGTACAATATCTTACAACTGCAGAAGGCTTTGGCTGATAAAGAAGGTCATACAGCTTTAGCACATACGAGGCTTGGGAAACGGGCACAAAGAGTGGGAGCTGAGTTGGTGAGGGATCCTCCAGGACAGGCTTTGTTTTATGAATGTGAGATGTTACGACACAGCACGGAGCAACTGCAACAGATGCTGCATGAGGCTACATCTTCGTTGCGATACTTGTTGCAAACTCAGATACAGCTGGAAGAGGATATTAACGTGAAGATGAACACCTTGAAGATTGATGAAGTCGATTGCATGACCTTAAGACAGACGATGGACTATCACGCGTACTGAGATATTTGCTAGGGTGGCGAAAGTTATTGTAGCCGTGAATTTTATTGGCCATAAAGATACTACATAAATGTCCTTTATTGCATTTGGAATATGCAGAGGTATAATACACAAGGCTGCAAAAGTTTGAGTGTTCAAAAGTGTAGTACTGTTAATATTTTTACTATAATTCGATGACCTGAATATTAAAAATGTTGTGTAGGTTAGGGCTTCCGTTCATTTTATTGTAATACATATTTTGAAGGGGCCATTAAAGTTGAATACGCCATTGTCATGAGGCATCTCATTATCATATTTTAAAGGTTTTATAACCATGTTTGACGCACATTTTTAGTAGAAAGTTTTATTTGTTATTACAGTAGCTGCTATTCAAATTGTTTTATTTCCCTAATAAATTGTTTGTGCTGGAACTGTTTAATGGTCTTCTTATTTGATGTTGGCTAGAGTTTATTTTCCTTTAATGAAATTGTGAAATTATTGTGCTCATGTCCTATATTTATTATACTCTTTGGCTCATGGTAGTTGATCCTTAAACCTAATTTATTAAATACGTAAATATTTTGGTATAGAAACACTTTAATTGCAAAAAGAAAATTTACAAGATACTAAGCAAGATACTTTGTTACTGATTTCGTAAACTTGTTTGTAATTAACATTTTCTATATATATTTTTTTATATAATTTTCCACTAGCGTCTTCGAAGCCTCACAATCTCTATTCTGGGCGTCTTTCGGCATGGTTGGTCTAGAGAACTTCGAGTTGGCTGGTATTAAGAGTTACACACGGTTTTGGGGCCTGCTTATGTTCGGCTCATACTCCGTCATCAACGTAATCGTGCTGTTGAATCTCCTCATCGCTATGATGTCCAACTCTTATGCAATGATTGATGTAAGTATCTCTTAATATTTAAATATTTTATGAAAGAAACTTTTCTCGCAATTTTTTCACCCAAGAACGTAAAATTATAATTCATAAACTTACGGGATTACATCTTGGGAACCATCATGCACATATAATATACCCACTGTAGGTTATGTTTTATAATAAAAAATAAAAATTCTAGAATTGGGTCTGCATTGAGTCTTAACCAGATTTGACTGAATGTTATTCTATTTCTATCTCTCTTAGAACCCGTATCCTGATAGGATAATATTACTTTACAATTTCTATTGGACCTGTTCTCAGTTTTTCACACTTTTCATTATCTGTAATGATAGTATCATCGTATGATATCCCTTCATCGCATATCACAAAGCCAATGTCTCCAGGAACCAACTGTACTGATGTTTTAGTTTTAATTTGACATCATAAGGAAGAATGTTCTAACTTGGCGTGTTTCATTGTGTAAGTGCAAGAATATACCAAGAATATACCGAGGTAATATGTATAAAACTTTATCGATAAAAGTGTACTCAAGTTTGTAACAACATTGTGTATGTATTGTATTCTTGATTGCTCGTATTTTAAAACGACCAGAGGTAACTAAATTTGGAATATATTATTAAACAAACTTTAAAAGAGTTGGTCATACTGCTTACTATCTACTAGTTGTTACAAATACAGAAATATTAATTGATACAATTACTGTAACAAATACTTCTACTATTATACCAACTCTACCCAAAATTACCCAAATCGGTTCAGACGTTCGCCAGTTTTAGCGAGACTAACGAACGGAAATTGATTTTTATTTATATAGATTGAACAAAGCGTATAAGTAATACTATAATCCGTAATATTGTTTAAATTTTCAACTGCCGGAAGATAATCGTTGAAGGCAGATCTTTAGGTATGTGGAAATATGAAAGCGAAAAATGTACGATTTCCTAGAAAAGAGCATAGGTCAAACTTGTTAAGGTGAGTGCCAAACCGAGTGCTCACAAAATGTGACAGAAATGTTCGTAAGGTTTAGTTATTGAAATAAATAACCGACCATAACTTGTGATGAGGAAGTGCTCCCGAGCTGGTTGTGATAGCTGTTTAGCCTTTTAGATTTATGTTTCTTCAAGGCTCTCTTGCGAAAATCTACGCTCTTGAGACGACGAGGACGAAACAATTGTATTGTAATTGGGTTAATTTTATATTTTATATAATTTAGTCTGTCTCATCTATACAGATAAATAACACTCGAGTGTCGGTTCTCTCTAATATTACAAATAATACTGAAATAACCGCTTTTTACTACATGCAGATGAATATACATACAATATAATTATCTACATATATAAAAATGAAACCCGTTTCCCGTTGTCGCGCCATAACTTGAGAACGGCTAGACCGATTTGGCTGATTTTTTTGTTGTATTTGTTATTATTATGAGAAGGTTCTTAAGAGAAAAAATTCTGAAAATCCTACGGGAACGGGAGAAAACGGGATTGCGCGTACGAAGTTGCGGCCAGAAGCTATTATAATAAAATAATATTTTTTTTTTTACAATTTTTGTCTCTCTGTTTGTACCGACTTTGGTGGGACTTTTATAGGCAAGTCTAGTAACTACTTGGGCTACTTTTTTTAAAAAAAAAACGCAGTCGAAGTTGCGGGTTTAGCTATTCTACATAGAATATATTCAAGTTGAATCTCCGATAATTTTTTTGCTCAATTTTGAACTAAATGGTGCTGTTAATATTGTTGTCTGATGTTTTGTTTGGTCTTAAGCATCGCTGAAGTCATTTTATGTTCATCAAGGCTTTTTATTATAAGAAATAAATATAATTTTTCAGTATTAGGTACAAAAGTAGATTAACAATTTAATTATTTGGTTTTCTGTCAAAAATGTTTTGATGTTATAACGTCCTATCGATCTATGAATAGTTATGTAAGTACAAAATAACAAGACATAGTAGATATATATGTAAAATAAAATGTATATTAAGTGATTACAATTAGGTACTCATTTGAAATGCTATCGAAATAAGCGTTATAAATAACAAAAAATATTTCGAACGCAAAAAGTGTGACTGCCGAAACCCGGGATTGAACCGGGGACCTTTAGATCTTCAGTCTAACGCTCTCCCAACTGAGCTATTTCGGCTGTACATACTTCGTTGAAATTACACCTCATTCTCTGTGATTTCCTAATGTATTTTTTTTCTAACATTTTATAGCAATATAGTTATCTATAAATATTATCTTTTAATCCTAGATATATTTAAAAAGTTAAAATAATGTAAGAAGGTACTTGAAATGTAAGTAGGCAATATTTGTATGAACATGAACTAATGTAGGTTTGTATTTGGAATATTTTTTACTGGTTATGTATAATTGGTTGTTGAATAAATAGAAAGTAAAACTTGATTACTTGATCTAACAAGGTTTAGGTCATTCTGCTTAGTTAGGAGGCGTCCTTGATTGTCTAGGCAGGTTCTCATATCGTTTTTTTAAGACTTGTTGCTATGTTAATAAATCTAGGCGCTGAATTATTTACTTATTAAGTAAGGTACTATGTAAAATATTGCGGCCAATTAGTAAATAACTTAGATATTTAATTTTGGGATGAGTAGGTACCTATCTACATTGACGGAGACTGACAGAATATTTTTTTTGTTTGTTGACGTTTCAAAAGCACCAAATTATGGTTTAATTGAAACAATTGCTTTGACTTTGATCCAATGTGGTGATGGTTAGTGCATAATTTTATAAAGTTCTTTTTTAATTTTAAAACGTGAAAGTCATTAGAAAAGGTTAATGTTCAGCAGTGGATGTATTTCTAGTGTAGAAGTAAATAAATATCATCACAAATAGATTTATTTACATTTAAAGGAAACACCACTTCAAATACAAATATAATTATATAATTATACCATTTAATAGATTTATTTTTATTATTATTATTTTTTTTAAGGTGTAAATATTTTAGTTTTAAATTTTTTTTATATATATTTTAAGTTGTATATATTAATTTTTATCTTGTATTGTATATATTTAATTTAGTAATAGTTATTATTAATTCTAGAAAATAAAAATTCAATTATTTTAAAGTAGATTAATAAAAGTAAAAAAAAAAGTTTATATTTAATATATTTTAAATTATTTGTTTTATGTTTATATTAAGTTTATTTATTTATTTATGTACACACATACAACATAAAGGACAACACATACATAAAATTAAAGTACAAAGCTAAAGCTACCACCTATTCCTTTTGGAATTTCTTCCTGTAGACCTGGGGCAGGAAAAGTAATAATAATATAAAGTGCACAGTGTGTAGTAACAAATAGAAAATTGGGATAGGAAACAGACTTAAAACTAAACAGAGGTTTAGTAGTATTCAAGAAATGTAATTTATAGAGAATTCTAAATACTTATATGAAATATCTAGGAACACTCCGACGTGGAATGGAAGTTCGCTCGCACTCGTCTTTGGATGAGCTACTTTGAAGAGAGTGCCACGTTACCACCTCCTTTCAATATTCTTCCGACCCCCAAGCTGTTCCTCAAGATGCTGGGCCTGAGGAAGAAGGATAAGTTGAGGAAAATGAAGATGAAGGTTAGTCCATAGTCATGAGATGTATTTAAAACTACTTGTACGCCATTTTTAACTTCACCGGTGGATGATACATATGTTTATTTTCATACAATTTTAGCTTCTAGCTTTTAAAATAATTAAGCGACTTTTGCATACTGCCAAAGATTTCCTTGTAATTTTTAAAAAGTTCGATTTTGTTTCAATAATTTAAGTATTCGACATTTTCATTTAGGTACATATTTTATTGAATATCGTAACTTGAATTTATATACACATGTTTGTTTTACCAAGATAAAACGAAACATAAAAAACATAAATAGATGATCTGATTTTAAGATTATTTTCTTACTTGATGTTCAATGTGGAAATAATCTTTGTAAAAGATGCATTCAGGCATACAACCTACTATTAAACTTATTTTTGTCTCATAGCTCGATAGATGGCGTTGGCCTATTTAAATTCAAGCTATGGTTTCGTTACCGGCGAAACTTTAGGTTGCTTGGTTTGACATACTGAGGTACTTCGTTTCTTTCTAGAACCAAGGCTTCAGAGGTCCTTCACTTGATTTGCAGTTGAGGTTCATTCATATTCTAACGGTTTTGGGTTCGTTCACAAAACCGTGGAGTACAATGAATCATAACTATGTACCCAATGAATAGGCATCTAACGAAAGAATATATTTTTTACCCAACTATCGCTACCTAAGTAAAAAGTTAAGAGAGACATTACTTCGAAATTGTTGAAGTAACTTGGGATTCATGTTTGAGAGTGTAAAACTTCTACAATGTGTGACTTAACTTTATTTTTCAATAAGAAAAATTGTCATATCATTTTCTTTTTAACCTTGAG